AACTCAGAAGGGTAGAAGGGTGGAGGGACAGCACAGGGCAGGAAGATCCTGGATGAGATGGACTGATACAGTATCTGGGGCAACGGGGGTTGGTGTGTCGGAATTAGTAAGACTGGCTTAGGACAGGGAAGGGTTCAGAGCTCCTATACACAGGGTTGCTATACATCACAGGCGACTCAAAAGCATGTAACAACAACAACAACAACAACATACTGTATTGGTTGGTTTTTTATTTAAGCCTCTTGTTTAGAGTCAACAAGACCTTGGGGAGGGCCTTTGTATTTAAAAGTCAGTCATTATTATAGTTTGGAGGAATATTCTTCTAAGTGGTACAGCACTCTTCTGTCAATATGCTGTAATAAGGTAACCTGGGGTTGTTGTGATGCTGAACCTTGTGCCATCTGGGTGTCAAATACCATAATGCTTACCATGGTGGTCAGTGTTTGGTGGAGCTCCAAGTTTAAGACAGGTTTGGAAGCAGGAGTGGCATCAACTTCCTAAACAACATGCCTCTGGAAACTCTATGAACTTTGATAAACAATGATAGTTAAAGAAAGGCTTCAGGCTATTTGTTCATAGGGTCGATATGAGTCATGCTCGACTCTACGGGAGTGAACCACAACAATACATATGTAGTGGTTGTTATGTGAAGAAGCCTGATGATGAACATCCCTGCCTAATTCCCTTGCCGATTTCTTCTTTAGAAGCTTTAGAGGAGTAATAGGAGGAAATATTTCAGCTTACCTCATCTTCATGCCTCTGTTCATTGCCTTCTGCTGTATTTGAAGATTCATTCTGAAGCAACTGACCTTGGGTGAGATCTTCCACAAATTCTGGATTGTTGGTGGATGGGGTGGCTCCACTATTATATGGAACCTCTGAGTGAGTTAACCTGAAGACAACAAGCAAAATTTCAGTATCAACAGTATTAAAAAATTATTCTCATGGTCAAAGTTTAAGCCAAATTTCACTGCCAGCAACAGCACATGCAAATCTTTGAAATTATTTCCCTATTACAATCTGCGTAAATACAAACCATGTCTCCACAGAAGCTGTAGAGTATTTTAAAAAATAGTTTCCACACTTGATTAATATGGGTAAGTTCCATAAGAAGTTTTCTACTGAAAACACTGTATCCTCCCCCAATATTACCTTCTCCCTCCACAGAATTCATATTTTAGCTCTGAGCACGGAACAGAGGCTGACATTTACATGCTACCTTTTGTGGATTCCAGTAGAAAGAGAAAACATTATTAACAGAAAAGATACGGAATAACAGTAACATTATTAATGGGAGTCATAAAGGCAGTTTGCCTTATCACAAAAGAATTCTTGAAGGGCTTAAGAAATCTTTTATGGTATCATAGGCTATTCTTTCTTGGATTATAGTGTTTACTGACTAACAGATCACCTAAGAAATGTATCATCAACTTAGGTAAGTTCAGGTATACACTGCTAATAAATCAGACAAACTGACTTCTTTTCTTGTTCCCTCCATTACATTCCAGATATATTAGCAAACTAGATCTCATTCTCTGAATAGTGAACTCAAGAAGGTACAGATGATAGCAGGGTCCTGGACTGACTAACTGACTCTCTCATATGTGGATTAAAAAGAAAAGGCTACACCAAGTACTAGGGAGTTTTTGGGTGGTAGAAAAGATGAATGTGTAGAAAGATGAATAAGAGTGTAACACATGGTCATTATCCTCAATGAATGAATATTCCGTAGTGTTTTAAGCAAATAATTACAATTTAATATAAATGTCATAAGGGCGTAATAAAGCATACATTTTCTTTTACGTGCATGGAGAGGATGTTAGGAAAAAATTTCACAGAAGAGGAAATATTTGTCAGATTGTTGTTTTTAGGTACTGTTGGGTTGGATATGACTCAGTGACCCTATGAACAACTAATCTGAACACTGTTCTATATTGTGCCATCCTTATAAACTCTGACACAATCAAGCTCAATGATGCCATCATTGCGTCACCTCACCTGGTTGAGGGTCTTCCTCTCTTTCACTGTCCCTTCAACTTTCCAAGCATGATGTCCCTTCTCCTAGTAACACGCCCACTGTATTGGAGGCAAAGATGACAAAGCTTTGGGCATGTTGCTAGGAGGGGCTATTCCTTGGAGAGGGATATGATGCTTGGGAAGGCAAAGGGTTGGGGAAGGAAAGGAAGACCCTCAATCAGGTACATCGACATGATGATTGCCATAATGGGCTCTAATGCGTCAGAAAGTGTGAGGATGGCACAGGATAGGACAGGGTTCAGATCTGTTGTTAGTAAGGTTGCACTCAACTTGATAGCACCTAACAACAACAACAGCAGCAGCAGCAGCATGTCCAAAGTATGTGAGATGAAGCTTCATCATCTTTCCCTCCAAGGAGCACTCGGGCTGTGCTTTCTCTAGGACAGATATCTTTGTTCTTTTTGACAGAGCATGGCATCTTCAATACTCTTCTCCAATACCGCAGTTTAATGGCATCAATTCTTCTTCTGTCATCCTTAGTCACTGTTCAGTTCTAGATGCATAGCAAATGACTGACACCACCATGGCCTGAATCAGGCATACTTTTCACCCTCAAACTATTTACTCCTCAATAATTTGGAGAGATCCTTGACTACACAATTTCCCAATGGAATACGTCTCCTGCTCTCCTGATTGCTAGTATCAAGTGTACTGATTGCGGATCCAAGGAAAATGAAGTTGTTGACCTTTCTCAGTTATTTTCCCATCCATTATGATGTTCCCTCTCAGTCCAATGGTGAGGATTTTTATTTTCTGGATGAGATGAAATCCACATTGAAGGCTGTATTCTTTGATTTTCTGTACCAAGTGCTTCAAGTCCATTTCACTTTCAGCAAGCGAGGCTGTATTATCTGCATAATGAAAGCTGTGATGAGTCTTCTGCCAATCCTGATGCCACATTTTTCTTCAGAGTCTAGCTTCTCAAATAATTTGCTCAGCAGATTAAATAGGTATGAAGAAAGGATACAACCATGACACACAACTTTCCTAATTTTAAACTATGCTATATTCCTTTGCTCTGTTCACAAAACAGCCTCTTGGTCTAGATATAGGTTTCGCATGAGCAAAATCAAGTGTTCTGGAATGTCCATTCTTCTCAATATTAGCTATATATTATGATCCACATAGTAAAATGTCCTTGCACAGTCAATAAAGCACAATGGACATTCTTCTGGTATCCTTTGCTTTCAACTAGGATCCATCTGACATTATCAATTAAATCTCTGGTCTCTCGTCTAAATCCAGCTTGACCATCTACCAGTTCTCTGTCTATGTATGATTCTGTTTTTGAATGATCCTCAGGAGTACTTTGCTTGCATGTGATATTGATGATATTGTTCGATAATCTGCACATTCTGTTGGATTCCCTTTCTTGGCAGCTGTCCTCCAAATTTCCTGTCATAGACTGGGAAGCATGCCCAGGGTGGCATCTGTAATTTGAAATATTTCAATTGGTATCCTATGTATTTCTGGAGCCTTAATTTTTGCCAATGCCTTCAATGCATCCTGAACTTCTCCCTTTGTTATCATTGGCTCTTGATCATATGGTACTTCTTGAAATATTTCAGTGTCGGCCAATTCTTTTTGGTACAGTGACTCTATATATTCCCTCCATCTTCTTTTGATGTTTCCTGGATCATGCAAAATTTTGCTGATAACATTTCTAAGTATTGCAACTTGAGGCTTGAATTTGTTTTTCAGTTCCTTCAGCTTGAGAAATACTAAGCGAGTTCTTCTCTAAAGTCTCCAATTTCAGGTCTCTCTGCACATTCCATCACAGTAGTTTGCTTTGTCTTCCCGATCTTCCTTTGAAATCTTCTGTTCAGCATTTCTTCCCTTTGTTTATCAAATAAGCATCATTATTACAGGTAGGAAAAAATAGGGTCTAATAGGAGAAACACATGCTGTATTGGGAAAATCTGCTGTCAAGGACCTTGTTAAAGTGCTAAAGAGCAATGATGTCAGTTTAAAGGCCAAGGTAAGCCTGATCTAAGTCTTGGTCTTTCCAATTACTTGCTATGCATCTGAAAGATGGACACTAAGTAAGTATGACAGAAAAAGAATTGATGACTTCAAGTTGTAGTATTGAAGAAGAGTTCTGAATATCCCATGGACTGTCAAAAGAACAAAAAAGATAGGTCTTGGAGAAAGTGCAACCAGGGTGTTCCTTAGAGGCAAAGATGATGAAACTTCATCTCACATACTTTGGACATATTGTTAGGAGGGACCATTCCTTGGAAAAGATATTATGTTTGGAAAAGTGGAGGTACAGCAAAAAAGAGGAAGACTTTAAACAAGATGGACTGACAGACTAAAGCAACAACAATAAATTGGAGAATAAGAGATAGACAGGTAAGTTATACTGAAGAAATAGAATAAAGAGGATTTAATGGTTGAAAGAATACAAATAGGAAAAGGAAGAGTTGAGGTCAAGATGGAGGGAAAAAAAGAGAGAAGATATAAGCAAGCTGTGAAAAATATTACTGTAATAACTCAAAGCATCACCTACCTGTGTGTGAGGCTGACTAGTGAACCTTCTTCCTTCCACTTGGTAACCTAGGTGGGCAGGTCCCATCCCATCCTCCTGCAGGGCCAAAGTCTGATCTTCCCAGCCACATGCCTGTGACTGGCTGCATCTCCCTCTGTGTCCCACTGGCTAAGGTACAGGTACTTTCTTGTGCTGAACAGCAGGCACCTTGACCTGCCCCACGTGCATCATGGTTAGTGGTTAATGTTGAGGAGTTATTGCACATGGTAATGGGTGACATCAACCATAGTGACATCACTGCCTTGGTGGTTAGCCCTCTGTGATGGTGGTGTACCTGCTGCCATGAACTTGGCAGTAAATTTTGGTGTCACCCTTTCAGAAAGTGTCAGGGGGTGCAGGCAGTTCCAGATGTCCACCAAATAATGTCACTAGTAAGTATGAATGTATTTGGAGTGATAATTTATGGAAAAAACAGGACTGAAGAAAGACATGAAACATTTATTCGAGAGTCATTAGTTCAAGGATGTAGAATAACTGTGAGAAGAAAAGTCAGTACTCTGTTGGAATAGTATCCTTTTAGGAGCAGGTATTAGAAATGCTGAGAAAAGAGAATGAAGAGGGCATTAAGAGATTAGGGTGAGTCAGAACTGATTTGATGGCAATGAGTTTGGTTTTACTGCTACAGATATTAAGGCTGTAATCGTTTTAGGAAGGAGGTGTGAACCAATTAATATGCTGAAACATCAAGTAATATGCTAAACACTATTTGCTAAATTTGAAGATAGGAAGAGACAGTGTCAATAGTAAGGAGTATAACTGTAGTAGAATTATGGGATGGAAAAACATTATAGTAGACTCAGAAATAAATGGAAGCAGATGTAGATAGTATGGGAATGAGAGTCAGTATAGTTTCCTGACCTCTTCTAAAACACCTAATTGTTTATCCTAGCATACTACCAGTGATATAGTGGATTAAGTACAGGGTTTCCAAGCACAAAGGCTGATGGCTGGAACCCACAAGATGCTCCAAAAGGAGAAAGATTGAGGAGTGTGCACCTGAAAAGATTTATAACCTTGGAAAACCCCATGGGATACTTATACTGTTCCCTACAGGACTGATATAAGATGGAATTAATTCAAGGGCAGCGAGTAGGTTTCAAAGTGAGAGAAGACATGAAATCAATCTGAAAATAGGTACAATCAGAGATACAATGAGATATCAGTTTTTTTCTCCAAGTATTTCTTTCTGAAATGTCTCAGGCAACCTGTTATTTTACTGTCACCCATCTGTTTCAATAGTGTCTTCAACTGTTAAGTTACCTCCCTTTTGTACATTCTTATTGCAGGAAAACCCATAGAAGTAGGTT